TTTTTTTAATCATAATTTAATCATTCGTAATTATTATTTTAATAATAATATTCATCAAAGTCTAATCATAAACAACATCAATAATAATCATCACAATATCTAATAACAAATAGCGGCCTAGCATCGAGTGTTAACACCTTAGCTTACCGTCATACATCACATAAAATTTTATTTGTCAAAACATCATTTTTATTTTATCACATAAAATTTTATTTGTCAAAACATCATTTTTATTTTTAACAATTATTTTTATATTGATCATAATTGATTGGTATATAAAAAAAATAGAATTTTATAGCTTCAAAAATAGCATTTTTGGGCTTAAAAATGTTCGTAACGGTTGACCGTTGAGTCCGAACGGTCGCCCGTTCCGCTGGAAAATGCAGGAAATTGAAGGTTCACTATTCATCATCTTCAACCTCTAGCCCATTTTTCTCAAGTTCCATTTTTGGTCACCAAACTTCAATTAAACTATATAGAAATGCTCTCCAAGGTTCGTAGATCATTTTAGAGGCATCAATTCGAAGTTTTAACATCAAATTCAAGGTTTATGATTCTTGGTTCTTCACATATGTCAAACACAAAACTCAACCAAACGACCATTTATGAGCGTAGGAACGATCTATACGAACATTCTAGTCACTAGATATATCTACGGGCTTACTTCGAAGTAAAACGATGATTCCGGCGGAAAAATGGCGAAACTTCCGGCGAACACCATGGCTTGCTCCGGCGACGGGAAGCTCTCCGGACATCTTCTCTCAACTCTCTAAACTTTCCTCTAACTAATGGGATGATTTTGGTGTGGAGATGATGAAGAATGAATTCCTCTATATATAAGCCTGGGAGGAGAGGGAGTTGCGTTCCGTTCCGTCGATGGTGAGTGGAGGGGGCGGCTAATTTAATTCCTTCCAGTTTAGTTTGATTAAATTACTTTAATTGGGGTACACTTTTTGGTCCAACTTTATCCAAATTAAAATCCATTTACACCGTTGCGATCAGACAGTCAAACTCTATTTAATGATATAACTTTTATATTTATTTGAAATACTTTTTTTTGACAGCATATTTTTGGGTGTTGACTTTGACAGAGTCAAAATTGAATTAATTGATATGTAATTAAAATTAGTCTCATATTCAATCAATATTATTAAATATAAATATTTATTTCAATAAATCATTTTACAAAAGTTCACATCTTTGACTTTTTCTCATTTTTATACAAATTACATATTTAAAATGTCATAACTGAACCTTTGTACATCAGATTTATTCATAAAATATACCGTTGGATTCGTCTCTTCGAGACCTGTCCATAAAAGTCAATCTTAACAAAAATCATTGACTCCAAAAATTCCTTCATTTTTGGTCAAACATAGAAATAATGCTTTGTTGAGTGAAAATATGGTTTCTAAAAATACTTTTATAATAGAATAACTTTTAGACCATGCTTTGGGGCGTTACAAGCAGACCCACAGATTTTTCAAAATCAAGAGGGGAGTCAAACAGGAAGACCCTCTTTCTCCTCTCTTCTTTATCATTGGATCTGAGGGATTGCTATCTCTTCTTGTTTTATAGCACCATTCAAGGCAGGGAAAAGTCAGGTGGTTTCTCATCTTTCATTTGCAGATGACCTCTTAGTATTTCTTAAGGGCGACCTAAGGAATATGCTGAGATTTAATCACATCCTACATAACTACCTTAGAGCTTCTGGACAAGAAATCAACATCAAGAAAAGTAAGGTTTTCTACAAGAAAAACAGCCACTCGACATACAAGAAGAAACTGGAGGAAGCTCTTGGATTTATAATTTTCATTTTTACATTCTTTTTATTTTCTTTCATAAATAGTAGTTTTTTAATAACTTTTTTACATTCTATTATTTTTATTTTATTTTTCCTAACCCAAGTTATCAGATATCTTATTTTTGGAGAAAAGTATAGCAAAAAGGCCAAAGTGTAGTTCAAGTTTGAAAAGAATAGATTGAGTTTGGGCCGGAGCCAAAACCCAACACTAAAAGAGATCAGCCCTCCATGTTTGTTGTCTCACGCACGCAAGAATGAGAAAAGTGTCAGCGGCTTCTTCTCTGCGTGAAACCGGCGAAGCATTCAACGCTCCAACATTCGGCTCCATCAATTGCGCGACAATCAATTCTCAACGGGAAGAAACCTCCTTGCTATAAATTGGAGTGCAATTGCAACTGAAAAAGGGAGGAAGCAGAGGGGAAAATCACACGGAAATAAAGCAGCGGCTTGGCCGCTGCTATGGCGGCGGGAGTGGTGGCCGGCGGACAACCGGTAGACGTGGACGGTGGCAGTAGTCCCGGCGAGCGGTGGGCAGTCCTCCTCAAGCTCCAATTCTTCAATTTCTTCATCTTCTTCAACAATTGGTAACCCTATATTTGTCAATTTCTTTTTCTTCTCCAATTTCTTTGTAAAAGTTGTTTTTCAATTCTAATTTACACTTTTTCTTACCTTGTTGTGTGAATTTCATAAAATTCTAAAAACGGTTGGTGTTCTTTTATGGTTTTTTTTATGTTTATATTAAATCCCTTATGAATGAGAATTGACTGAAACTAGTTTTTCTTCAATTATTGAGCAAGTTGTTGAATTGGTTGAATTGTATAATTTGATTTCATAAGTAGGTTGGTATGTAGAATTCGGTTTTTGTTGAAGCTATTTTAGCTCGATAAGGTAGTTAAATGAACTCCGAATTCATACGTGATTCTTTATCGTGCCTTGTGTTCGTTGATTTTAAGGATTTTGGATTTCTTAGCCCCATAAGTTGATTCATTTTTCTTAGAATTCGTTATTGAGTGATTATTATGTTTTCATGTGTTTGTTTGTTATTTTCATTGAATTAAGGTTGTTTAAGCTCAAAAACAATTCTCAATTTATTGAAAATATGTTGTGTTCATTTATGTGAATAGAAAAAAGGTAATTGGTTAGAGAAGTTTATGGAAATCTGTGAAATGTGCTCATCATTAAGAGAAAAAGTTTGTTAAAGTGCATAAGGTATTGGCGGTTTGTGAATAGATTATGTATGAGAGTTGAATGCATAATAGATTCTCTCTTTTATAAATTTTTTCTATAGTGGAAGTATGTTCTCATGCTTGAATAGAGAGTTGGGGTTCTAAGGTATATTTCAAAACGGGCCTTTAAATTGCATGACTCCGGGCCGTGTGGAGAGTTGACAATCCTCCATATCGTGGTTAAGGAAATGAATTGACTCGGCCTTTGATTGATTTTTCTATTCTTAAGTGCGTAAGTTACGTAATATATTGTCTAAGTGCCTATTATACGTGTAATGTTCAATTTGTGTTTGTTCTCTTTTTCATTTTGTTTCGGGTTCTTGGTGGTGTTTCTTGGGTTACTTTTGTTGGAGGAGTTGATTATCTTTAGAGCTTGTTTTCTCCCATTTTATCAAAAAAAAAACCAAAAAATAAGAAAATACATAATGAAGAATAGTGATTTTCCTTGAATAATAAAGTGGGAGTACATGGGTTTATATATACAACCTTTTCCTAATCCTAATCATGGTAGGATTCTACAATAGGAAACAATATTTGTACAAATAATATAGAATATATATTTAACATAAATATAGAATATATTTAACATGCTCCCGGCTACGTCGGCGTTAGAGGTGGGCGAATCCCGAGGCTAGTCCGAAAATCTTGAAATAATATGGACCGGAGGCCTTTTGTGAATATGTCGGCGTACTGTGACGAGGATGGCACATGAAGGACTCTAATCTGGCCGTGGGCCACCTTGTCACGAACAAAGTGAATGTCAACTTCAATATGCTTAGTGCGCTGATGCTGAACCGGATTGGTGGAGAGGTAAACGGCACTGACGTTGTTGCAGAAGATGAGTGTGGCGCGGCGTAGGGGCTGTTGTACCTCTAGGAGGAGATTTCGAATCCAGCTGGTTTCGGCAACGGCATTCGCAACGGCTCGGTATTCAGCTTCAGCACTAGATCGGGAAATGGTAGCCTGGCGTTTGGAGGACCAAGAGATGAGGTTGTCCCCAAGGAATACACAGTAGCCTCATGTGGATCGCCTAGTGTCAGGGCACCCAGCCCAATCAGCATCAGAATAGGCCTGGAGAGAATCTGTGCCAGAGGGAGACAGAGTTATACCGTAAGTGGAGGTCCCACGGAGATAGCGTAGGACACGCTTCATGCCCGTGACGTGGGCATCCCGGGGGCGTGTAGATGGAGACAAAGCTGCTGAACTGAGTAGGAGATGTCTGGCCTGGTGAATGTGAGATACTGGAGTGCTCCAACTATGGAGCGATATAGAGCTGGGTCGGCCGCCAACGAGCCTGATGTGTCGGACAGTTTGGCCTTCGTATCGACTTGAGTGGAGATGGGACGACAAGTGGTCATGCCGGCACGCTCTAGGATGTCGTGTGTGAACTGTGTCTGGTGTAAAAAGAGACCACGAGCTCTCCGATGAACATTGATGCCCAAGAAAAAATGAAGGTCGCCCATGTCAGTCATAGCAAATTCCCCCTTAAGTCGCTCAGTCAGGCGCTTAAGGAGAGAGTCAGAGGAAGCTGTGAGGACGATGTCATCAACATAAAGGAGTAGGTAGGCAGTGTGACAGGGCACTCTCATCTACTTCTCTCTCCACAGGCTGAATGTAGGAGCTTTTGGGTCGCACATCTCTTTGGGTCGTTTAGCAACCATGGTGCTTGCTCCTCGGACAAAGTTCGGTATCTCACGGATTTTCAGCCTGCATACATAGTTGGGCCTGTGGGGATCCTGGAATCCTGATGGCTGAGAGGCGTAGACTACCTCCTGCAGATGGCCATGGAGAAAGGCATTTTTGACGTCCAACTGATGGATCGGCCATCCTCGAGAGAGAGCAAGGCTGAGAATGATGCGTATAGTAGCTGGCTTGATCACAGGGCTAAATGTCTCATCATAGTCGACTCCGAATCTCTGGTTAAAGCCACGAACAACCCATCGAGCTTTGTACCTGGTTAACTCACCTGTAGGGCCAAGTTTGTGCCTAAAAGGCCATTTTACGGTTATGATATTTTGGTGGGGGGAAGGGGGTACTAATTCCCATGTATCGTTCTTGATCAATGCATTAAATTCTTCACACATAGCATTGTGCCAATTGGGATCTTTGAGAGCACTACGGTAGGTGAGAGGCAGGGGGGAAATGGGTACAGTGGTGTTGAGGTTGAGAATATGTTGTTGGACATGAGTTCAAACCCCTTTATTATTTTTTTCTGGAATATTTTTGTTTTGATAAATGACAAACAGGATGATGAAATTCAAACGATGATCGAAAATTTACTTTTCGTACCAAGAAAAGAAAAGAGGCGTATCAAGAATGTTACGGGATAAAAATCGACGCTCCCCCCACGCAGTTTTTTGAAGTGATGTAAAGACTTCGAAGACTTTTTAATTTTTTATTGAGTCTAGGATTCTTGTAAGGATGACAATATCTTTTGCACAAAACAATTTAATTTCTGAGGGATAAAAATTATTTTAGAGTCAGTTGAAAAATCACTTTTTCTCTGTCTAAAATATTTTAGTAAGTCAGTTTCAAAATAAGTGTGTCAAAATTTCTTTAAAACATTTTTTTTAAAGTTACACAATTTTCTTTGGTGAGAAAAACATACTTTAAATATTTTTCGTATACATCGTTTGACATACAAAATATTTTTTGGACTCACTTTTTCTCCCCTATTCAAATTCATTGAATAAGGATATTATTTGTTTGAGGAGCGCTTCTTTATTCTCGCTGTCTCAAACAAGGAGTTAGAAGCCAAAGGGCTTCCAATCGCGCTTGGCTTGAGCCCTTTGGGTTTGCGCATTATTTTCATTTTAATCGATTATATCCTTTAAAATAATCAATTAGAT